CCCCCCTCAAATACCTGTCTGCTCAATTATAAGTTGGTAAAAAGTTGGTATTTTACCAACTTTTATATGCTTTTTACTTGAGTTTTTATTTTGTTAATGGAGAAAATTAGTGCATTCATTGTGGTTTTATTGTATATTTCAGGTTTATACGTTGGAGAACAGATTTGGAGAGAAAACAAGTCAAAAGAAGCCAATTTGAAGAAAAGGAGACAATTCTGGCCATATTTGGAAGTGGCTGAATGGACTGAAAACTGGCCAGAAGCGTAAGAACTGGCTAGAGATGCAAAAACTGGGCAGAAACTTAGAAATGAAGGCTGTTTTTGCCATTTGACTTGGGAAATATTGTGGAACTATAAAAGCAAGACTTAGGAGAAATAATAGACGTCTTCGGCTATTTTCCAAGCTGGAATTAACATCAACCCCATTGGGAGTGAAGACTTGGATGAACTTCATTGAGCATTTCTTACCTTTTTAATTTCAATCTTTAACTCCTTGTTTCATATGGTTTTATTTTTATTTTTATGGTGTAGTTGTTAAATTTCAGAATGCACGCACGTTGCGCGTGTGCTCCATATCGATGAGTACAAAAAGTATATAATATCGCATAAATATTCTTAAAAATTATGTTTGCGTTATAAAATAAAAACCAAAGGCGTAAAGATGATGAAAATAAAATAAAAGAATTAAAAATGAAATGCTTAGTCTATCAAGAATCACATTTGAAGCCAGCAAAATTGATCAACTTGGTTAATCCTAATGTAATGGCCATTTCCATTCGACCTCCAACCAGCACCCTAGAGGAAAATTTTATTGCGGAGCTCTTACCCAACATTAATCCAATGTCCCTAATAACCACCAAGGCGAAGCTTAACATAGTGGCCACCATAGCTAATTTCACCTCATTGTCCCTTTTAAATGCAGCTAGCTGCCATTAATGGCACGACAACCCCTAACGAAAATGCAGAAATTTATAATCTAGCATCTGCAAGACTTTTTGAAATAAAACTGTAGTATGTTAATTTTTTGCACGAGATCGATCCATCGGAAAAGCTAGCTACCATAATGAAGATGCATGCTTCATAAAATGGTTTTGAAATGACAGTATTTATAAGTATGAAAAGTCTTGAGAAACAACCAAAAGATCAAATATGAGAATTATTAGAAGTTTGCTCTGGAATACGTGACAATGTATTGAAAATTTGAAAAATCAGATAGTAAATCTTGGAAAAGATGTGAAAATTATATACACGAAAAATATGAAGTCTTAAATATTGCATGCCAACTTTTAAAATTCCAAGACAGTTTCACTGATTTACGTGGACATTGGACAATACTCCCTCCGGTCCACAATAAGTGACCAATTTGCTTTTTTATTTTGGTCCAAAATAAGTGTCCATTTATATAATCAAGAAAAAATTCAATTTGTTTTTTGAAAATTACCCTTATGTACGTATCCCTAAAAAGTCATTTACTCCTCACGTTTGAGAAGAGAAGCAAGTGCTACTATAACTATGCTACAACATTTAATTAAGTGTAGTTTAGTTACACGATCTATTTTTGTCTAGAATTTAGTATTTTTTTAATGGGTGTGCCCAAAGTAAATTGGTCACTTACTATGGACCGGAGGGAGTAATAAGTTGTCTTAAATATTGCAACACAACTTTTAAAATTCCAAGACAGTTTTTCTTATTTGCATTTTTGAAGATGACTAATAATAAGTTGTCTTAAATATTACAAGGCAACTTTTAAAATTCCTAAACAACAATTCTTATTTACGTTTTTGCGATAATGGAGGAATAATGTAATATTTTATTAAAAAATAGTATATATTGGTAGTCCATAATATTTAGATCTAATAGAGTAACACTTATTAGAATGTATAATTACATTTTTGTACGAAAACATTGTAGGAGGAATATTTGATTGAAAGGCAAAATGATCATTCAACTTTTAATGGCTATTTTGGTCTTTTAACTTTGGGCTTAAGGGCTTCCTACTTATAATAGTGTATATATATATATATATATATATATATATATATATATATATATATATATATATATATATATATCAATATTAGGGTTTTGATTTTGTAACTTGTTGCTTTTGTATTAACTGACAATTCTACTATTTATGAAATGGTCTTGTGTTTATTCAATTAATCTTGCATTGTATTGATTTTCCAAGGGAGTAGCTACCCCTAGGACATCCCCTATTGACTTGATTCAAAGGGAATTAGGTTTGGGCTTAGATTGATTGACGGGATTCTATCGATTAGCCCTAGTCTAGTGATTGAGGTCAAGGATAATCCTTCACGCTTGTAGCCTAAAATTGGAAGGTTCTTAATGGAACCTGGTTAGGTTAGGGATAATCAACCAGGTTAGACTCGCTAGTTGCTGAGAAACACTAGTGGGTAATTAATTCCAAGGCTAATGACTTAGACCTATGATTAATTAGTAGGAGTTAATTAAATACATTGGAATATACTCGATATCAATGAATTTCATATTTTCCATATTTCTTTGTTTTCCTTGCTTGTGAGGATTGCCATTGATCACTTTATTATTTCTAGTTTAGTTTTTTATCTTTCTTAGGTTTTAGTTCACATCAACATTTATAAAGTGTTTGGCTTAACCAAATTAGTGACAATTCCTCACTTTCTTGATCGCCCTTATATTGTTCTCTATAGGATTCAGCCCCGACTCAATAGTTGGGTAAATAATATTACATATGACCGTATCATATCTCTTATCGAGGCGTGTTGTGGACGTAATCACTCAACTATAAACAATAGTACCAAAAATCCAAATAACTACAACTATGAATTGCCTAACCCCTTACCCAGGATGTATCTGTATATACATAATGTATGTGTTTCTATGTAAAAGGAAATTATGTCTTTTGCATTGCTCCTTTTTCCTTATCAAAAAAGAAAATTAATGTCTTTAAACCAATGTTGCACGGACTCTAGATGCTGCCGTACCCATCTCAGATCCTCCAAAAATACACTACTTTTGAAGGATCCGACACGCATCCGGCGATATTTTTGGAGAGTCCGAGCAAAATAGCTTTAAACATTAAAAATGCAACAAAAGTTTGGAGTGTTATCTAGTTTTTACTTTACAGTCATCACAAGCTACTGACTGGAATCGAGTAATTATCTCTTCACAAGAATGAGATGCTGAGAGTTTGTGCAAGTCATAGTAGATAGAGCTAATAAAAATTAGGAATACAGAGAGGAAAGTAAAGAAATATTGGGTGAGAAATGCCGCATCACAGAAGACGAAAGAAATTACTGCATTCCACAGCTTTTTGGGTATTAAACAAGTAAAGGACAGCCACAAATGAGACATAGGAAAGCGAATGGTGAACCAGAGGAAAGAAGATACATTCTAGCCAACAGAAAGAAGTGGGAGAAGGGAAAGACACAGCATTCTACTTAAATAACCAAGAAATTCATTTAGAAAACTTTAAACAAGAATAAGAAATTGAGATACTTCAGATACCTTTATCAAGCTCCCAAACTGCTGTTCTCTTTCCTGGTAAACTTTCAGAATCCTCATAATAGGTTATGTACTTCACCGTAGGTAACCTTGTCATATTGGGAATGATATCTTCTCCATGTTGATGCTCTATATTTCGATGCACTTGTACATCTGAGCCATCATGCTCTGACTGATGTTGTCAAAGACAGAGAGTAAGATAGAGCTGCAGTTGCCAGTGAGTACCAATATAAAAGCTAAAATGATTAACAAGCAAGCAGTATAGTTTTAGCAGAAAACTGGAAAAGTATGAGGTCATGTGACTACATCTTCATGAATATATTATGTTCTCCAGAAGAAGCCAATTAGGTGAAAAGGATCTACTGAAATAAATATTGCATAGCTTGGTTATTTGGACCTTCGATCCAATGAATTATCCTTTCCACGGAGGTGTAAATCTTTGCCTAGCAGCAGGCAAAGATTTACCTCTGTGGAAAGGTTGATTCATTCGGATCGAGGCCAAATAATTCAATCGGGACCGCATTGCCCTTCTCTGACCCTGACTGCTCAACCTGAGAGCAGACGAACCGCCGAATCAGAAAAATTGGGTGTAATTCAAACCGCACTCAAAGGTAGTGCAACTGGGCCGACACACTCAGTGACAAAAGCTAGGGGATCGTTTTGTAGGAAAATGTGGGGATCTTTAAAATGCGTTGCATCAAACTTTCAAGTATCTGAGAAATTACTAACAATAGTCAGATCTATCATAGTCTTTTAGGCAGCTCTTCCAATGTGTGTCTGTGTGGGGTGGTGAGATGGTGTTGGAGATATTTTCATATGCTCAATATGATTAGATGTCTTCCCCATAATTAGTAGTAAAGGTGGTAATATTGGTTGCGGTTTCCCCACTTGACTGAGATTAAGATCAAACAAAATATCACATACCAAAAAGGAAGACAGATGATCTTTACGAATTTCAAAAGAATATTAATTTGCACCTTCAAATCATAAAAGAGAACTGATCTGAGGGGAACAACGGTATCTTAGATATCTATATCTATAACAGAGCTTATGAATACCTGTGGTGTCCTTGTTATGTTCACTTTTGGCCCCAGCCAATTCTTGCACCAGGAGAGGGAATTGTATGGCACCTGCGAATCTGCTTCAGTTAATAAAAAAGAATCCCTTTCTTGTACTCATAGTCATAGATATGAGAGTTACCATAATCAAATGGACCAATCTAATTTAAAAATAATACTACTTCCCCTGTCAGATTTTTGCAGCTTATTCTAATATAAACCTTACTCCTTGTTAAACATAATGACTTTATTTCATATCTTACGATTACAATTACCTAAAGTTCATTTTAAAGACTCTATATTATAACCAATCCAACATTTTAAGTAAATTTATTCGGTAGTGGAAAGAACCGATGAAATAACATTTCAACGTGCAGTCATTGACTTTAATAATATTAGCTATTTCTTTTCCAATAATGGTGTACCTGGACCAGCTCGTGCACTTGGCATATGCTACCTCCCACCAACACACAATTACTTATATAGTTATATTACTAAAATTTGAATTTCGTTGAATTTCCTATGAATTAGTACTGTTTTACAGTAAGTACTTAAATTGGGTACTAAAATGATGAGCTTAAAAGCATTAGTTAGTCCGATTGTCAAAATAATTGTTGCCCATTGTTGAATTGTTTGATCAACTCATCAAAAAGCTTGAGTTTTTTGAGAGAGCACACTTTTATTTACTTAAGTATGTCTTTAACATGCCCTCCTCACGTATGGACTTGATTCTTTTTGCTAAGCCAAGCATGTGGAAATTCTTTTTGAAAGAGAGCTCTCTAAAGACATTTTAAATTTCAGTAGAGAGGTCATTTCAATAAATTACAAAAATTGATATACTTAAATATGCATGATTTATCCTTCATCATACCGTCTCATCCCCACTTGTTGCACCTGGATTTCCTTCAACCAGATTTCCTGACCTAAAAGGAGGAAATTTGAGATACTGAGAGAGATCCAAATGTTCAAATAGTCAGTATCCAACTTCAACGAGATTTAAGAGGAATAAGAAGAGGAAGACAAGTTAACATATTCTATAGGAAGAATTGTTGATTTAGTATCACGCACATGGTCAGTATCCTACTCCATGTTGTCTGCTATGCAAATTAATACTTAGGATTAAAAATTGAAGCTTAGGAATTTTAAAAGAAGGATAATGTCCTCCATGCAAAGACTCAAAATTATATACTTTCACAAAAAAAATCAAACAACTTAATCATTTTCATTTTTTTTTCCAACCCTTACAACTTTCTGTCTTAATGAAGTTGTAGAGGATCCGGGTGGCATGGATGAGGAAAAGAAGATAATGAAGTAAGAGCAACAATAATAAGTGAAAAATGCCATGTTCAGATGTGCTGTTCGGAGAGAGCTTTCCAGAATATGTTATCAAGATGCAGAACACAAGTTACCGTGAATACAGAGATCCTTCAATTTCATATATCACATCTGTTATAATCCAATTATCAGGATAAGGTTTCCCACTGGGTGCAAAATAGTAACCAACCTGTTATTCAACATGAAGAAAGCAGAAAAATATTCAGGATCACATACTAAAGGAAGAACATAACTAGAAGAGGGAAATATAATCATATAGAGGCATGTAATGTAATGCGGATAGAAGACTTATGTCATTAAATCATTTTTACAGAGTGGGGGTACTAGTGGTAGACAGAGGTTGGTGCATTTAGAAATACAGCCAACTAGGGAGAACGCTATAACCTGCTTGTTTCATCCTTTTTTGTTTCATCCTTTCTTTTTTCATACCACTATTTCTTCAATTGTCATCTTTTTCTTGCTTTTCTTTACTTTTCTGCCGCAAGCAACTGATGGATATGGTAAACAAGCTTTTCCTTTAGAATAAGAAAACGAAAAGAAAAACGACAACCAAAATTTTTAAGAAATCAAGCATTATAGCAAATGTTGCTCAATCACAGCTAACATGAAATGGTTGTAAAAACACATGGACTTTCTGGTTCTGATTTCTTAAACCACAGATCAAAAGAGGCCTCGTAAAAGATTCAAGTTGGAACTTTCAACTGAATGTTTAAAAGAATTAGCGATTAGAACAGATACTTCATCACGAAATTGTCATGTGAAAGCAATACAGACAAAGAATTATAATAGAAAGGCCTAGGTTGATCAACAGCAGACATAACTTACAACCTTCATGCTGATCGGTAAGTTTCATCAATGGTTAGTACCATCCCATCTCCGAGTAATTTAATATGCAAAGTTTGAAGACTGATTCGAGGCGTTCTAGCTGTCCTGTCAGCTTCAGATGAACAGTCACCTAGCGCACTAGTTTTCACTTTTGGGTTTTGAAGAAGTTCAGAAATTAATACAAGAACATGATGAACTCGCTGATAAACGAGCACAAGAAAGTTGATTTAGTGTGTGCCGATTAATTAGTGTAAAACAAGTAATATTGAGTTCAATAACAGCATGTGCCTACAGCCAAATCATCTATGTTAAAAAACATATGCACAACAATCATAATGAATTTCTAAACTGGCTAGAGCAAGAAATTGACCCTTGAGAAGAGAAGAATACCTCAGTCTTCGAATCTATGCCATAAATGCAGAATATGTTCTTGAGAGGTGGTCTTTCCCAAGGTGTTAGAGGATTTAAAATCGGATCGGCATGGTAAGACCTGAATTTTTTAGATGTCAGAACATGGTATAGCTAGAGATAACTGGCATAGAACCAAAGAACAATTAAGCCAATAGCCAATAACTCATGGAGAAACAAAAAGAAAAAAAAGGATAAGTATTAAGCTAGCTTAAATTACTTCCACCATAAAACATTCTTTTATATAAAGACAACTTAATCTTTCGCCAAGTTTTACTTACTTAGTGAGTCCATATGCACAAAACTCTGTCTAGCTCCAAGATTTTTTTTTTTTTTGAATAAATTGAACTGCTCTCCAAATTTTGCATTTCAAAGTTTTAGTTAATCAAATTTTGCTCATTTTAATTCATCTATCATCTTGAATTATTTTTAATTTTCTCAATATAATTTCTTGCCGAAATGGACGCACAGCAACCTACATAAGTGGTTAATGACAGTCTTGAAATAAAGAGTAACAACTAAATAATAAATTAAAACATCAGTATTCAATGATCTATCACAAATAAAAACTTTTAAATTTAAATATTATCCCAACAATTCAATGTGGCAAAGTAGATACTCTATCACCATCGAGAGTGTTTAGGTTAAAACTGTAGTTAAGTAATTCAATTTTAAATTAGGTGTCTTTATTTGATCTCTTATACCCTTCGTTCACGCGGGATGCTTCATGCATCGGGCTGCCCTTTTGCCATACTCTATCTAAAAGTACAGGATTCTAATGGCAAGGAAGTAAACTAACATAACCACCTTTTTATAACTTATCGTTGTTAGTTCATAAGTCTAACAGGAAAGGCAAGTGTAATTTTGCCAAGCTAGAGGGGATGTCCTCTGAATAATGGCAAAAGGAGAGGAAGTTCAGTGTAATTGGACCATCTATATATTACAATGTGTTAAGATAATAATTCGCATAGTTTAAACATATGAGATCAAATTTAAAATATAGAGTATAACATTAGAAATAGTATTTTTAAAGGTTAGTTTGACTTCAATGTTTTGAACCTAACCGCTTCTCAAAATGAGCCCTTTTAAGATAGACTAATAAAACAAGATGAAGGGAGTATTATTACAGCTTTATTTTGATATGTAGACAGTGCTACATTTACTTAGTTTTTAAATAAAATAGCTCTAGTTTTAAAATAGAGATTACATCTCGGAAATCAGACAAGGAATATGTTCGATTTCCCTTTGTTAGTTGAATAATGTCAATCTTTAAGAGGACAATGTCCAAGTTGCCTTTGTTAATAGAATCATATCATTCTTTTTGGGACAATGAAAGTAACACAAGCAAAACAAAGTAGCAAAACATGCTAGTTTTTATGAGCATTGCAACACCTTGATCATCCATGGAGAAGTCAAGGGAGCAAAAATATTTTTTCATATGTTCCGACCTCTGGAAATACAAAAGGAAATAAAATAAGATCAGCATTTTCATGGAAGGTACAGAAAATTCATTTCCTTCAACAAGCTCAACTATATCTTGAATTAATTGGATATGTTACATTAAAAACATCAAGGATACTATCTTCTTATTGCATTATCTGAAAATGTTGCATGGACGTAAAAGGATTTGCTGTTGTACTCACTTTTGTAAAAGGTACAAGAGCCTTTCACTATCAGGATCATAATCCTTTATGGCTTTGAAAAAGGTCCCATCAGAGACTTCGCGAGCAGAAAAAGACAATTGCGTTGGAAATCCACATTCCATTCCAGACAAGTTAGCTTGGGCAATTTCTACAAATGATGGATAAGCTTTATCCCCTCCTAAGACATATTAAAAGCCCATTAGCACAAGTTATGCTAAAGACACAACATGCTCGTTGGCCTTTTGGTAATACCTCGAATTGAAGGAACTTCAATATTGATTATGTTTGTTGGCCAGCCAGAATAGTTTGATTGAAGCTCATGCTCATCGCAATGGTAGGCGTGATGGTTTTTCCGGTCTCCGCCAGAGAAATGCCTCCCGTACACATTATCTGTTGTACAATATTTTGAAAATGGCAACATCCACATAGAAGATCCAAAAGTATTGAACATCAGGCGAGCTGTCCCCTGATAACTTGGAAAACATACATGCCATATCAATGCAGATATAATATCTAACATTGTACGAATTAATAAGAATGTCCAGATTTACAACTTTTATTAAGTTCCCTAACTTTTGAAACAAATACAAGAGCTTTAGAACAAAAAATTCTCAAATTCACATTTCTTTGATGAAAGAAAGTAGTCTCTAAAGCTTTCTAAGGAATGTGCCCTGCGCAACCTAGAATTTCTATGTCTGAACTACACAACCTTAAGGTCCTAAACATACATAAAGGTAGCCTACCGCATTAGAACTTAAGTTGAATTTAATAAAAATAAGAAAATAAAAAATAAAAACCTCAGAAACAGGAAGACCAAATGTAGCCCCCGATAATGTTGCTTTGACTGTCTCAATAGCACCAAGAAGAGGAGCTCCTGAAACCACAAGAAAGCAGCAATTCCAGATAAGTAGCTTTCCCTAATTTCTGAGATAAGACTGGAATCAAATAGTATTTAGGTTAGTAAGACATACCAACAGCAAAATAGGCATGAATGTGATTGTCTAGCCATCGCAAATACTCTTTTGGAGCAATCTCTAATTTCAACCACTCCAAGAAGTATCTAAAGACATTGTTACCTAATGAATGAGCGAAAACTATTGAAGGCCCACCACGAAGTTTAAGAGCAGTTTCAAAAGTTAGCCTGCCAGAAAGGAAAAAGAGATAAAAACCCACCATATAAAAGACATTTACCAGAAAAATTACAAAAGAAATGCTCTAACACTCAAAAGAGCAGAACAATAAAATCAGCAAAGTAGAAGGTTTAAAAGATTTATGCGAAGTACGGGGAGGGGAAAGGGGAAGCAGGAAAGGAGATGCAAAAACAAGTCGTTAAAAGGCAACAGAGGTACTTCTGACACAATGTGTCTGGATGTCAAAGTTATTTCCTGAACAGACCATCCCACCATGCCTGGTGATAAAAGATGAGTTTTCTGTGTAAAATTGAACTCATATTTTGTGCAAACAATCACATCGGGCACTATTTGTGGAAAAAAAATCACTCAATGATGTACCTAAGATCTCTAGCATAAAAAACAGAAACAAACCCTCCACCCATAATATTGGAGGATTGAACATTTTATGAGAAAAAAAAGGCAGGAAGAAAAACTGTAAAGTCGCTAAGTTTTCCATGGTCATATATTCTTAAATATTTGTTGCAGGAAAATCTTCCCCAGGCCAAAGAGGAAGCAAGAAAACATTGCATTGGGTTCAACCCAGATCTTCAACCATTATATAAAGTAAATATCTTGCCCACTACTACAAATTCTGAAACAAAATAGATGAAAGAAATGGACAATTCTACTTTCCACTGGGAAAAAGGAATTGGAAAGGTTTACACTTCTCTACCAATCAATTTGTCATTTGAACTTGAGAAAGAATCGTTTAGTGAGATAATAAACACATATATCTGAATTCAAGGCATGAATGGTATCCTGAAAAAACAAACTTTAGTTTGTGAAAGTAAAGATCTCGCTCCTCAAGCTTTGATGGAGACAATCTCCAGTCATATGGAACTGCAATGATTGCATTAGCCTCGATACCAAATTCAATGCACCACTTAACCCATTCTTTCCACACTGATGACAGAGGACCTGAAGAGGAATGGGGTTTGGATCAATTAGAGAACCAAAACAAATAGCAGAATCATCACTTAAAGCCCTTAGAGTAGCAAAGATATCTATGACAAATGGTCCTTCACTGACCACTCTCTGTTATTGTCCTTTTTGTAATTTCATATTCATACACTAGTCCTTTAGAAAAATATATCCATAGAATCCCTACTAATTGGTCTTGACAATCCAAGAAAAAGGGCAGCAGGCAGAAGTTCATCAGTCTCACACTAAGGAAAATGGTTTTTAAGTCATAAATTTAGAAGTGTTTGCCCATTCAGTTCCATGTCTCATTAGTTCAACCAAGTAGAATAAAGTTAAAAAATGTGAACCCAGAAAATGTAGAAGAAGAAGGAAAAAGATAATAACAAAGAAGGAGCCAAATCTTCTTTTGGCGAAAAAAGTGGTCATAACTGCACATAACAAACATTTAAGCCAGAACAACTTCAAGAATCGTGAACTTATATGGACACTTCAAAAAGAACAACTCATATTTGAATGCCTCGCCGAAAGGCTGTTGCAGGCAAAACCCCATCACATAATGTGAAGGCTCGGTAAACCAAATACATATAGAGTTGCCATTAGTGTGTAAAAGCATCTTCCGCTTCCAAACATGACAAAACACTGTTCTAACTTATTAAGTTGTACCAAACTGAGAAACGACTCAAGCTGAGTTGATAAACTGATTTTGTTTCTAAATTTGGTATTTTTTGGTGTTCACTTAGAAAAAGAATGATTATATTGAGTTTGATTTAGTATTAAATGAAAAAAGAAGCTAATCGGACCAAACCAACAATGTATATATCACTTTGTACAACAAACCCAGTATAGTCCCACAAGTGGGGTCTGTATATATCACTTTGTAAGTTTATAAAGAAAAGCATATTTGTTTTACAGATATTTAAAATTCTATATATATTTTCAATAGTATTTTCTTCCTTTCCTCCTTTGGGTTTGTGGCTTTGCCCATTTTTGGTTTAATTCTTTTACAACCACAAGAATAGTTGAGAATGGTTGCTGCAAAGACATGACTAACCCTGCATATGCTGTTATACCAGATCCTAGTTAAGTCCCACTTGTGCAACAACCACGTTCAGTCAAAACATGCAGAAAATCAAAAGGCAAAATTATATTTTTTTTTACTGATAAAAAAGCCAAATTTTGAAAGAAAAAAAAACCACAGAACCACTAAGACCGGAACCTGAATACACCTAGTTGATTTGGTTTTTTCATAGGTAAAAATCAGCTCAAACCAGACCACACAGACCACTGTTCTCGAAGGCAAAAAAAACGTATAAAGCCAAGGTCTAATTGGATGATAAGCTAAAGCATAGTTAAAGGGCGCATTAGTGAAGGCACAAATGAAGAAAAGGTATATATACACTCACATAAAACACAGCAAAACTAATATGGATAAAGGAAATGAAACAACTGCAATTAAGCAAAACAAATGAAGTAAAAACAATGCTAATTTTTTCTTTTCGATAAGCAAAGTAAAAAAAGAATGTTAGTCCAAGTTCAAGAACCAGTAAATTTGTTTCATTAGATGCAAAAATGCAACTTTTAAGTTCCTAATTCAAATCTTTTAACTACTGTATTTCTAATAGTTTCTATCACTATTTCTCAGGTTAATGTTTTCTTAGGTTGATTTGCTAAATATTTTGTTGTTTAGTGTCACTCTTATCGCGACAGAACCACGCTCACCTAAGTTCTCAAAATTTTTGAAAAAAAGAAACTTTTGCTGAATCACACGCTTTAGCGCTTGCTAATTAGTAAATCCAATGAACCGCTGTCTAGCCGAGGCAAAGCGCCCAACCTGCTGTGCACCTAGTTACATGTGGATTAAAAAGAGGCAACTTAAGATATTACCAGTGAACGTCGGTTCAGTTTCATGTCCTGGCTAATGGGAGATAACATATTGAATTCTTATTCCATTTTACTAGAAGTCCAAAGGAATTGCACGGAGAACAAAACAAGATCACCTGTAATGTATCCCGGATCAAGCTCCGTGATAGCAGAAAGGCCACTATCAGGTCGAGACTTGCATTCCCGATGATCTGTTTGATTGTAAGGATCTAACATCATGCACTTCAGCCAGCAATTCACAGCAGAAAGAAGCTGTAAGAAAGATAAATTGTTAACTCATAAACAACAACTACGTCCCAAGCCCAAGCAAGTAGGGATCAAGCTATTTGAATCATTACTGTTATGCTGCTCCATTTAGGCTCATTTTGGTCCAATATTATATAAATAAAGTCTTGACAAACCCAGCGAAGGCAAAGCACTAGGTGATTTCTTCCGATCTGCCTAAACCTTGGTGGGCAAAGTCAACTGGTACATGTGTTGGTGAGAGAAAGCATGTACCCGGTGGAATAATCAAGGTGCGTGTAAGCAGGCCCGAACACCACCCCCATGATAAAAATATTAATACTAATAATAATAATAATAATAACAATAAAATCTTCACAAAAAGAAAACAAGTTTCTCTAGCAGTATAAGTTCTATATATTTTTTAGTGACACATAAATCTCTTACAAGACTAAAAGACTCCTAGCAACATCGGACTTAAAGTAAATATAACATAACTAAACTCAACCAACTAATGGGTATAACCTATGTAGATCTTTTTCTTGTATTGTGCCCTATTTTTCACCAGGTCTGCATGGAATTGTAGGTCTTTCAAGAAAACTTAATTCCATGTGATTCTAGGTAAAAGTTAAACTAAAAGATCAGTGCTTTTGTATCACAAAAGCAAGATCCTGACAGCAGATAGTACTTTTGTATGACTGCAATCGAAGCAACATCTCATGCATGGTCTAATATCTAGTAATTTGCCACAAAGGGTATTTCCCCAAATACATTACAAAAGCAAGATCATATCTTTCAATGTAGTGCACCGGCAAATCGAAAGTAATTGAACACCTTGAATATTGATCTGAACGAGGAAAGATTTCAAACAAGAACCAGAACAAGACATGAATCAACATCCACGTCCTCATCACATATATACCAATTGCCCCATTAATACTTCATAAGTTGGTATCATTAGTTTGTCATTACAATATGAAAAATCTGGTAATTAGCTTAGTGTATGATAAAAGTCACAGTTCAATATCAGACTTTCTTCCGTTCAATCAATCAACTGCACATTGTCACAAATTATTTGTGGTCGACTATTCCTCTATATACATTCCATATTATTCATGTCAATTTCATTCCAAATACTCTAAAAAGAAATAGGTTCCCTAAGGGTGTGTTTGGTAGAAAATATTTTCCAATTTTCCTGCATTTGGTTGGTCAAAAAGTTTCGTTTTGGAAAGACATTTTCTCTAGGAAAACAAGTTCCTTAAAAATCAGGAAAATGACTTCCATGGGAGTAAGAAAATAAGTTCCATGAGCAACATTCCATGCTTATTTTCTCACCCATC